TGCAAGTTTTATGCTTTTCACTAAATTGAGCATGCCTACTTGAAATTTAAGTGATTGTCCTGATGATCTGAAAGTGATTGGTAAAGTATGATTTTTCTGTTAACTTCTAAACTCGTTTTATGCAAAAGTGAGTATGACTGATTTGAAGTGCAAGTTTTATGCTTTTCACTAAATTGAGCATGCCTATTTGAAATTTAAGTGATTGTCCTGATGATCTGAAAGTGATTGGTAAAGTATGATTTTTCTGTTAACTTCTGCCTGTTTTGTCTCTAATGTGGTCATGTTATTAGTGACCCTACTAGTGGGGGATTTTATAAACGCTAGCACATGTTGGCACATGTCGATATGTTTATGTAATCCTGCTAGTGGGAGTTAAACGCTAGCACAGGTCGGCACATGTCGATATGTTATTGATAGAACCGGTTCGTTTAAGTGACCCTGCTAGTGGGGGTTATACACTAGTAAATCGTGTGCCTGCCAGTGGGAGATTTATAACACTAGCCGTGACCTATAGAGAAGACGTTTATTTCGTTCTCGTATTGTATTCGTTTTGCTTGATTGCACATGTTGGCATGCTATAAGTTTGATAAGGGGCACTCCATATTTACTTACTGAGTTTATCTCATAGTTTTTCCTTGTCCACCATTTCAGGAAGTGAAACCGAGGACGGGGAAACCATGGGAAGTGACGAGTTAGAAAGCTAGCCATTTCGAGTTTGATATAGATTTTAGAAATAAATCATGATATTGTATTTGGAGATTTTAATTGGAGATTTATGATATTGGAGAAATTTTAAAGATTTGATCTTCAGATTTTGATGGTATCAGATTATGATATGATAAGTTCCGAGCCTTGTGCATTTGTGGGACCCGTCTCACGAGTGCACGGCGTCTGTCACGCATCGAATTCGGGTTTTGAGGCGTGACAATTATATTTTTATTTATTTTTATATATTTTATACTTACCAAATAAGTATAATTTTTATTAAGTAAAACTAAAACTAAAATTGAAATTTATTAAGTAAATATAATATAATTAAACATTTACATATTTTAATTCATTATTTTAAGTAATTATTCCAAACATATTTTATTTTTTTATAAATGCATTTATTTTGAATGGTAAAATATATTTTTACATTATTTAGTAACATTATGTAATTATTAAATAAAATAAATTTGTTTTCTTTATTTTTTATTGTTTTTTTCTTTAAATGATATATACGGACCGATGTCGGTCCGTATATACCCTGAACTGCAGCTTTTTTATTTTTTTTTCTAGGTTATATTTGGTGAACTTTAAAATTTTTCATGTATATGTCTATTTTATTACGTTTTTCAATTTTCTTTTATATTTATGTATATTTTGTTTTTTGTTTTGTAAGAAATGTGAAGAATTTCAAGTAAAAGCATTTTTTTTATTTTGTTGTAAATTACATTATTTATATAGTTGTAGTATATATATTTATATTTTATTTTTTATTTACAATTATAATTACCAATATTATATTTTTATTTATTTTTATATGTTTTATACT